AAACATGCTCAATGTGCAGTGCCACACTGTACCCCCCCCCTCNTCCTCAAAATGCATGACGATGATGCCATGCTCCCCCTTCCTCACCCCTCCATCCTCTACTGAACCCCACCCACTTGGTCCCACCTCAGAGTAAACAGGTAAGATGTAGCCCCACTGACTTGTCCAAAGTCTGCGATTGATCAAGTTTTCTTTGTCGATCTTTTCTTTCCTGTCAAAAATGGAAATTTTAAAGTGCATTTTCACATGAGATTTTTCTTAAGTTGGACCTTGTGGTCCACTTGTGGTGACATCGTTGGATTGTTTTAGCTCGCCTGGTGGGGGGGGGGGGGATCAATCGGGGTCAAAACATTGCCTTGTCTGCTATGAATTTATTCGCTTATGTGCGCCTTGAATTAATGCGCCTAGATCTAATGTGTCTTGAATGTACCTTGATCTATGTATCTTGAATGTATGTGTCTAGATCTAATGTGTCTTGAATTTACCTTGATCTATGTATTTTGAATGTATGTGTCTAGATCTAATGTGTCTTGAATGTACCTTGATCTATTTATCTTGAATATATGTGTCTAGATCTAATATGTGTCTTGAATGTACCTTGATCTATGCATCTTGAATGTATGTGTCTTTATCTAATATATGTTTTGAATGTATGTGTCTAGATCTAATGCTTATTGAATGTATGTGTCTAGATCTAATGTGTCTTGAATGAATGTGTTTAGATCTAATATGTGTCTTGGATTGATCATTGATGTGCCCTGATTTAATGGGTGCCTTGAAATTACCCACCATGGTTAACTATGGTCCTTGGATCAAATTTATGTTGCCTGGTGTAATCTGGGCCGTACATTACTCTACTATTATATTAGGTTTATGCCTTTAATTGGTGGCCCTTGATATGTCACTTTATCTTAGCGGATCCATCATACTAATAGGTTAGCAAAAATATTTAAATAATGGGTGAACTGTGGACATCTAACAAGTGTAACTATGCACATCTAACAAGTGTAACTGTGCACATCTAACAAGGGTTAAATGTGGACATCTAACAATGGTTAAATGTGGACATCTAACAATGGTTAAATGTGGGCATGTAACAATGGTTAAATGTGGACATCTAGCAAGGGTTAAATGTGGACATCTAACAAGGGTTAAATGTGGACATCTAACAATTGTAACTGTGGACATCTAGCAAGGGTTAAATGTGGACATCTAACAAGGGTTAAATTTGGACATCTAACAAGGGTTAAATTTGGACATCTAACAAGGATTAAATGTGGACATCTAACAATGATTAAATGTGGGCATGTAAAGAGGGTTAAATGTGGACATCTAACAAGGGTTAAATATGGACATCTAACAAGGGTTAAATGTGCACATCTAACAAGGGTAAACTGGGCACATCTAATAAGGGTAAACTGTGCACATCTAACAAGGGTAAACTGTGCATATCTAACAAGGGTAAACTGTGCACATCTAACAAGGGTAAACTGTGCACATTTAACAATGGTAAACTGTGCACATCTAACAAGGGTAAACTTTGCACATCTAACAAGGGTAAACTGTGCACATCTAACAAGGGTAAACTGTGCACATCTAACAAGGGTAAACTGTGGAAATGGTTTGTGGTTTCAGTGTCACAGCAAATAGTTCCACAGGTCGCCTACGTCGTGCTTTTTGTTTCTTTATAATTTTTTAAAACGTGGAGACGAAATAATTGCGGCGATGAAGGGTTTTTTGTACTTGGACAGGTTTATTGGCGGGGACAAAAGCACATGAAATCTGTAGGAGACCAAAAGTATAGCTAGCTAGTCAACGTAAAGGTATCCTTTAAAAAAGTATAGCTCCCAAAACTAGCGCAAATGCCATAGTATGGATGTTTATTCTGGTTTCACCAACGCAACAATGACGACATTGAAATCTATAGGCCTAAAATATTACGAAAAAAACTGGATTACGTAAAGAAACAGGAGAAAAAAAAAACATTTTACCCTCTCAGGCTGAAACTATGTTATGCTTATAGCTTATATCTGAAGAACTTCAAGAGAATAATGTTCAACAATTCTTTCACAACGACCTCGGCCGATAGGATTATAAGCAGGCCCTACTATAACTATAGACTATATGCGTCTAGAATAGGGTGACCAAATCATGAACTGGAAAAAATGGGACACAGCAAAGGAGGGTTGGGGGGGGGGGACTACCCTTCAGCTAAAGAGGAGTCCGGGGGCCTCCGCCGGAAACTGTTTATTGAAATATGCTCATTTTAACTATTTTGACACCTAGAAATCTTTTTAAATTTACCTTCACTTTTGTCATTTAATTTAAACTCTGAGGCATATCATAAACGAAAATAATAACTTTGCAGTGAATACTTAATTATTTATACAGATAAGATCTATGGCAGGGACACGGTCGTTTACGCAGCGTCGGCAGAGTGGTGGAGGGGGGAACAGTGCAGCCATCCTGCGAGCCCACATCACTACTGGCACTGGCACCACAGCTAGCCAAAAAATTACTTGAGGTTTTATTATAAATTAGGAAGTTTTAGTGATTTGAAAATGTGTTTGGTTTTAGAAAGGGGGCATTTAGGCGTCCCGGGAGACTTTTTCGGGACACCTAGTACTAGTACGATCGTGAAAAAACGGGACAATCCCGTTTTTACGGGACGTTTGGTCACCCTGGTCTCGAAGAAGCCAAATATTAAATTTAAAGAAACAAGGAAACAAAATACAAATGCATAAGAAATTAATCAATTAATTTCATTGTAAGCTTACGAAATTTTCATTTTGGCTACATAGTTGACAAACTCATCTTCCTTGTATCTCGCCATTTTGTGTGCGATTTCACAACAAAATGGCGCAAAGTGGTCTTGAAGTTTATAATGGTGCGGAAATGTTCTCCTTTTGATATCTCAAAACTATTTCTGGTTCTGGTAGGGTACGTTACTGCATTCATGTACTGGCATAAGTGCAACGGTTTGGGAAACATTGCGGGTATCCTAACGACTCCTAGCGGGTGCCAGGGCAACCTTGAAACTCTCTATTGGTGTCGAGTTCACGGTGGTATTGTCCAGGTTGTTCCAAGCAATTTACTTTTAATTTTAACTTTCCTTTATTTTCATGCAAATAATAAGTCTGTATGTTCAGATTGGAGGGTAATCTTTGTATTCAGCATCTCTGGAACAACAAGTGAGTTGTACACTGTAACATAGGGGACAATGTTTTAAGCTGAGTCTTTACATCTGTTTTACGATTGTTTGGATGAAATAGTCCCTATCATAGCCAGTATCATAATTCAGTCTTTGAAAACTGGTATTGTTCCATCCTCTTTTAAATAGGCGATTGTAACTCCACTGCTAAAGAAAGCTAATCTTGACCCAAATGTGTTGGAAAGTTATCGCACCGTCTCAACTCTACCATTTGTATCCAACATTTTAGAGAAAGTTAAGTCGTTCTCCGCTAGCTCCTGAACCACCTCACTCACAGTGTGACTTGCTTGAGCCATTCCAGTCAGCATACAGGGCCCATCACTCTACTGAGACAGTCCTGTTGCAGTGATCAAGCAGTTTGATATGCTATATCACATGTTTGCGGATGATACCCAAATTCAGCAGTCCGTGATCCCCTCTCAGTTCCCTCAGCTTTTTAGTATGACACAGAAGACAGTGGAGTCAGTTAAGCACTGGATGGACGATTTGAAATTTGAAAGATGAAAAGACCGAGCTAATCCCCATTGTTACCGCACGAAATCTAAAATCTGTAAATACATTACTCTCTCAGTCTGAGGTATACAGATTGAGTTTGTTCAAACAGCGCAAAACCTGGGTGTCTACTTAGAACACTAACTATGGAAAATCACATTAACATGCTTTGCAAGGTGATTTTTCAAGAGCTGCCCAGAATGTCAGATCAGACCTTTCTTAACGTTTGATGCAACAAAGAGGCTGATGTCTGCTATCGCGCATGGACTACTGCAATGCTCTCATGGTGGGTCTTCCAGCTACGCTGCTGGATAAAATTAAAAAAGCACAGAATAATACGGCTCGCATTGTTCTTCGCAAACGCAAATTTGACCATGCTAAAACACTTCTACTTCTAAGAGAGTTGCATTGGCTGCCGGTCCACGCTCGCATAGAATAAAAAATTGCAACTCTGTGCTACCGCTTCTTGCATGACCTGGGATTGTCCTATCTCAAAGCGCTCATGACGACTTATGTACCCACTAGACTCCGCTCATACGATAGTGGCAAACTCTCGATACCTTAAGACTTAGGGAAAGCACACTTTCGCATTTGCTGGCCCAATAATTTGGAATACACTCCCTGTCGCTCTCAGAAACAGCCAGACACTGGAGTCTTTCAAAACCGATTAGAAAACACATCTTTTTCGCAAACACCTGCTGGGGTGATGTTGTCTACCATCTTTTTCCAGCTAGCTATTAGCTAGTATCTCCTAGATGTATATTGGCTTGTGTTGTTTATGGTTGCAAGGGATGAAAGACTTAGAATGGGTATTCTCGTATGTTGTGTTAGAATGGGTATTCTCGTATGTTGTTTTTGCAATGTTGCGTTTTGTATTTTAATGTGGTATAATATAGATTTTTTCAATTCTCTTTTAATATGGTTGACTTTGTACCACGCTTCGAGCTTTTGGGGAAGAAGCGTGATTTTCAAATAATCTTTATTATTATTATACCGTTAGACTATTAGATTTCATTGTTACATTGTAATAGCAGGCACACATTTACACTGTAAATCTAGACCCACCATCAGACAAACTCCATATAGTTTAATTTTCTTCACTTTTATTATTAAAATTATTGAAGATGTTACTTCATAATGAATAAATTGTAAAATCAGAGGTCACTGAGAAAAAAATCTGGGGGTCACTAATGTTGTAAAGAGAAATTAAATCAACTTTGACCCATTGAGAGTCAAAAGCTCAAATTTGACCTGGCAATTAGGTTTGTCTGGAGTCATACTTGACACCCCCCCCCCCACACACACACACCTTCAGAGAATACAGAGCCTTCTTACAAAATAAAGTCAATGCCTTGACTAATGTATAGATCAAACTGTTTTTTAATAACAAACATCTTCTCTTTAAATGCCTTAGAAACAAAAACCTATACAATTATTTTTAAAAGGTTTCAATACTGTACGAAAAGAACAAGTCAACTGGAGAGAGAATTATATTATATTTGAAAATGACAGACTGTCATAAAAATGCCAAAACAATGTTAGAAAAGTTATGTACTACTCTTTGCCTGCTGAGTGATACAAAGCTGGATACGATATCTGGACATTACCTCAACAATGGTTCCCTGTACATCTATATTAATTCTTGTCTTAGGACATCCACTGTTCTGTCCATTCGGTTTGGCATAGACATGTACCGGACGATGTAACAATGCAGTCAAATTGGACATACATCAAAACAGACTATTGAAATTGATGGTAGATTAAGTCATTGATTTTTTGAGTGCTTGTTTGGTCCCTCATTTATATACTGGTAATACCGATATCTGTATCTATATCAATATGTCCACCTCTACATTTACATTGAGTAAAATAAGTCAGCCACATGCTCAACATAACAGCACAGTCACACGACATGAAGACTGGCAGCAAAGATCTAACAAACAGGATTACCAACATTATTTTAAACTTAATATATAAATCCCATTACATCCACAGATAGTCAGTAAAATAAACAAGACGCTTTTAGAGTGGCATGATTGTATCATCATTAAAATGTCTCTTGTCTCCAGCATTCATTAATTATTAGGTTTACATGCACCATTTAACAGTCAAACAGCATCAACAGATATAAAACTCATATAGGACAAACCCTGAAAGTGATCAAATAGGCTTTTCTATTTAGAGACCTAGGCAGGGGCCCTACAAGGGCTGTAGTGCCACTGATGATGATTTACAGATCTGTCTCATGCAGGTATGACTGCACAAATAAACATATTTATGTATACCTGTTGGTGACAGAGATGATTTCGTTTCACAATCAACATTGCATGACAAATACAACATTAATTCAAGGATAACAACACAGTATTGTGACGTTAGATCAGCTCCTCATTTTCCAAACATTTTTACTCATACATTTTTTATTTATTTTTTTTGATGTATAAAGAGAGAGAAAACATGATGAATATCCCCAACCAAATTTAGGAGAGCAAAAATATGTACAAATCAATAAAGAAATAAGTTAAAGTTTTTCAAAAACAAATTCTCACACCTCATTCACTCCCATCAGCAGCCCGCCATGATTTGAATTAATTCATCCAGCCCTCACCAGTACAGGTGTCATTGTATTCTATAGAAACAGAGATTTTGTGGCTTTATTTTGGACAGTCCCCAGTGGTAATGAGGTGTAATAACATTAAAAAAGACTCAAACATTTTCTATTGGGTGGCTTTTGCTTTCTTTCTCCCTCTTGCAGCTTTCTTGTCTTTCTTTTTCAGCCCGTCCATGTTTGCCTTGAGGAGATTTCCATATGCCTGCGACAAAAAGTACATTTTAACTAATTTCACTTACAGCCATTAATATAACTTCTATTAGAACCATCTTGGTGAAACAATATTCTAAGTGTGACAACCATGAAAGCTATTTGAATTTTATAAAAATTGAAATTAATCATTTATTCATTGGTTGTTTCATTTTAAAAATGCTCCCTCGACTTTAATTTATATTTTTATTTGTAAAACAAAATTTAAAACTTCCATTTCATGACGCTCCCATGGGAGCACTGGCTTGTACATGGTTCATTATTCTCACTTTATTATTTATAATTGTTATAACTTAAGACATATGGTCTTTCAAAAAATGATGGCATGTGGCTTTTCTCTGAACACTTAATTATTTTTAATATCATTTTTGTGTTTCCTTGGTGCAAGCTAATTCAAACACCAATGATCTACTTGCAGTGGAATTTTGCTTTGGAGGCAAAGTCATAATGGTCAACACAGACTCAAAAATTGAATAAATAGTTCATACACCAATGAACCTGCAAGGTGAAATTATTATGCCTTGGAGGTGCGTTAATGTAACAAAGAAAGAATTTCCTCATTTGTATTCACTGACTTGCTTTATGGGGAGTCATGAGTGCTCTTTGAAACCTATAAAAGTCTGGCCTTCTATAACTGAGTGCCACCTGCACTAAAAAATTGTTTTCTATACTAAATTCATTTTAGAAAACCAAAATTAGTAAGAATAAAAAATTAACCCACGAACTGTCAAATTCAAACATGCTGTGGTGTCAACGCTTTTTTAAATGAACTTTGATATGTGTATAACTAAAATACCTCAAACTAACAGAAAATGAATACAGAGACCCTTATTAAGTATAATTATTCTTAGAGTACATTCTGTGAGCTATGTGACATGAATATAACTTAATATAACCTTGACCCTTCAACAGTGAGTACAGTTGTGCTTTAGTTTTATTATCTTTCCTGAACTCACACCCACACTGACTGTTGGATCCTTATAATCACCTAAATAAGTTTTTCAGACTCATAAAACATTTTCTTTCAGTTAAAATAATAGAGTTATTTGGATATATACAAATTTTTTTTTAAATAATAAATTCATGGGTGACCTACTTATTTCTTAATATAATGCCTATAAAATTAATTAGCACCCTATTCTCCACTACTTCCAATATTAGAATTTGAACTGCCACTAGTTCTAGCTCCATTATTGCAATTATCGCTACCATATGTAACGCCACAAAACTATCTTTAAAATCACTGTCATAAAGAAATAATTCAAATAAATTAGAATTTCATTTTGCAGGCCAACATCCGAGTCCTACAAGTACAAGTTAGTTTTTACCCAAAAAATTTCAAAAAATTTAATTGTTTTTTAATTTTTTAAAATACAAATATGATGAACACATGAAATATTTATCTTAGTTTTTCTATACTATAAAATAAATAAGAAGTCAATCTAATTTGTTTGAGTCATTCCCCTTTTAAAAAAAAAGGTAAGTCTTCTGATTTTCCTTTATACCGGTACAAATTAATTTTATATCTGTGGTAACACCACAGTTGATCGGTGGTCATGACAGTTCGTGGGTTAAAAAATAATATGTCAAGAAATCTTTTTAACTCCCATTCCAAACAGCCAACTATCTTATTTACAGAAAATTAAAACCTACCATTTGAAACTTGGTTACATCTTTGTGATTGATCTGTTGATATAGATTGGTACGGTATTTATATGAATATGCATGCATCATATCAAATTTAAAGCAGTATATTTCTTCATTAACACATTTTCTAATTTTTTAAAAATAATTTTTAAAACTTACATTATTTTTAGTCTTTAATATAGAATATGACCTAATTAAACTTTTAAATAATATTTAAATATTAATAGTAATTTATGTTCAGTGAAATCTATGCCTATTAAATGCCCCAAAAAAAACATACCACAGTAGTGAGTTTTTTGGTGCCCAGGCTAGCCCTTACTAGGCATTTGTATTCATTAGGCTCTGGCAAATTTCCTGATCTTGGTTTTGGTTTCAGGCGTCCATCATCTAAGAATTAAAATAACCATTTTACTCAAACCTAGAGTAACAAATACTGTCTCTTGGATCTGTATGAGATTCATTTCATAAAAATATTTATTAAAAAAAACCTTTGTACATATTTATAAATAAGAAAGGCTATGATCATAAACTGGTGACAGTGGTGTGCAGAAAGAATGCATGAGGCAAAGAAGATCACATTAGTCATCAAGTGTTGACAATCATAAAGGGAATGTATGCATCACTCAGTGTTACATGTCCTGGCATGGACACACTCAACCACACAGTTTGCTATTACTAGTAATAAAATTTTATTAACTAGATTAGGTGTATATGTGAACTTACATCTCTTCATTGTCATGGTAACAGAGCCTGTGGTTTTTCCTTTCAAAAAAAGCTTTGTTAACTCTGTTAAAAACTGTGAAAGAAGAATAAGTGTAATTAGGCCTATAGTTATAGAATACCAAACAGCATGACTACAGAGTCTTAGATAAATAATTGGTAGTTATTAAGTTTGCGGTATAAATTTCGACAATATTTGTCTCAACCTAAGCTCGGTGACATCCTTTTGGGGAATCGCAATGCTTGACTTTGGGTAAATTGACCAATAATAGGATGTGAAAGACGTGTGTAATAACTTTCCAGTTCTTTTTAGAGCATTATTATGGCATAAATTAAATCTGACAATCAATTGTTTATATGAAATGTAATAAAATTAAAGGTTCAAAAGAAATTACTGAAGAAAAAAAACAAATCATCCTTGTACCGGTACTGTAAAAAAGAGGGCTCAATTTACACAATCCGCATCACTTTGATATTCTGTGTAGGATTCTCTCCCCTTTGTTTATTCTTGGATTGTTACTATAGTTAAATTCTTTTATTTTAATATTAATATGCCAATTGAATGTTTTAAATTAATATTTCATTGGGTGGTTAATTTCAATAAGATTTAAATTTTCAGGCATTGTGGAAAATGTGTATTGTATTGAGTTTTCAGACAACTTTTGGATTTTACTTTTGGTGGAACCCACAATAAAGTGTATAAAAGTGTATTCTATGAAATCGTAAGTAAGTTTTCATTATTTAAAATACTTTAAAAACTATTTTGATCTCTTTATTAAAATGTATGATTTTGTTAGTAGAATACAGTGTGTAACTGTAGAACATTAACATGTGGCTTTAGGGTTCATGTCACCATAGACCATAGAATTTAGGTTTGAAGATTTACGGGGGAGGGGGACGACTAAATTTAGGGTTACATTTACACTTAGGGGGGGGGGGGGGGGGGNATTTTAGGATTGAAGGTACTTCTAAAAAAATTATTTGATTAAATTTTAACGTTTCTCTCTGTAAGTAGCTAAAACAGCACACTCACTTTCCTCTCTTCATTTTATCAGACGTGTGTTTGCACTACTTTTTTTTTTTTTTTTTAGACTGCCGCCATCTTGGTTGCCACACAAGTCTGCCATCATGGCAACTAAGAAGATAGCTGTGGGAAATGAGCGGTGCTGTTTTCATAAATTTACCCATTAAGAGGTACTTATGCTATTCATTTCATAGTGCATTTGAACATAATTTTTTGGAGAGGAGCCACTCCTCACACTTTCAAAATAAAAATAAACAATTTAATTTTCTGGGGAGAAAAAAAAATAGTATCAAAGAAAAAGAATAGAGCTAAAAATTGAAATCTTTAAAATTCTGAATACAGAACTGTGGTCTGTAGTTCCTCTGGGGAAACTTCATGACCTATAGACTGTGGAAGACATCCCCAGCAGGCAGTACTGAAATCTAAATTCTATACAAAATAATTATTTAAACTTAAGGGTTAGCTCTATTTAATTTTAAATAAAAGCCATATGATGATAATGATATGAATCATGAATTACGATATGTTGGTACTTCGGTAAAAAAATAAAATATTTTTCAAAAATTATTATATTTGTATAGAGCAAACTTCATATTAAAAAAATTGAAACAAGAATCAACTTTCTAGCTTTAGTACTTTATGAGCTATGAATTTTTAAAGTGTGAGTTCATTTGGTGTTCTTTACTATGGACCCCACCTCCCCATTTCGTGATCCAATTCTGCTGTCAAATAATTTGATGTGAATAGTGGTAATAATTGAATATTTCACAAGTATTGGCATCTTCCACCATTAAAAAGGGAGCATGGTTGAAATTGGACATGGTGACTTTATGATAATACAGATTACTTAGATGAGCCTGACTAGTGGCTGACAATGAGAATTGGCACACCTAATAATGCAGATGAAGAATTAATATGAAAGTGAAAGACATATTTTGAACTTCTTACAGAATTTTGTAGGGAAAGATGCCTAAAATTGAGGTCGATTGAAAGGGCACAAAATTATGATGGAAATGTAGCTCAATATGTCCACAATTGTAAACAAAATTCAAATTTCTGCACTATTTTGCCCACAATATTTTTATTTTTAAAGATAATTGCACCAAATTTTCAGGAGTATCAGTATGTGATTAAATTTCAAAAAGGTAATTGATAGTAATGTTCTGCCCGTCATGTTCTACTTAACTAAAATTTTCCATCTATTATTAATTATATCTGAAATAAGCCCAGAAACAACATCTAATCATATTAAATCATAATCCTGAATCTACAAATGTTCTTATTTAATTTCTTTTTAATATTATTATTATTATTATCATTAATAATTATTAATTAGTGTTCAAGTTTTGTCTTTATTATTAAATATTAATTATTATTATTAAAACTTACTTTAAGTTAATTTCTTTTTAAATTTGGAAATTATCAATATATTAACAATTTGAATAAGTAAATAAGGCCTTATGTAGTATTAGTATTAGAAATTTGTATTAGTATATTATATATTAAAATTTGGTGCTTAATATTAATAGTTATAATCTTAGTAAATAGTACTGGCAGTACCGGTACTTAAAACTTAGGCTTAGTAAGTATTATTAGTGGCTAAGCTTAGACTTAGACCTATAAATTAAAGTTAAATTGTAGTTGTAGGCGTAGGTCTAGAAATAGTAGGAGTAGGTGGAAGCAAACTTATATTAAATTTTATGTATATTTTCGATTTCTGTATTCTAAAATTACAATTTACATAGATTTATTCAGATATATAAAGATTATGGAATATTAAATTATTAAACTCTCTTTTGATTGATACCGAGAGCGAATTTTGTTTCCGGTGAAGATACAAAGTCAAAATATGGAGAAATTTATTTTTTCCCTCCTGTGATGGGGAAAGAATTAGTATTAACCTGAAAAATAGAATATGGACTATTTCAAAGTTATTCCTCATCAAATTTGGATGCTTAACTCAATTCTTTTGGTTTCAATGTCATGCAATTGCTAAAACGGAGTATTTAATACATTTTTATAGCTTACTGTATGGTGAAAGTGACACAAAAAGAAGAACAGAGATAAATCAAGTTGGGCTAAAGATATGTGCGTCACTCAAGTAACTGGAAGACAAATATTTATCGTAATTGATGACAAAATAAATGTACAAATAGGAAACTGTGACGTACAACGCATAAATCCGAGGTCACCGTAGAAGCAATTGTAAGGTGGCCACTTCAGTTTTTTTTATTTTTTCCCTGTCCCTAAGCGGCCGCAGACCAAATGCGCGAGCGGGTATCGAGATGCCTACAGCCTACTGCTAAAAATATTATTTTGGTGTTATAATTTTGATAATCCTGTTACAAAATTATCTCTGTTCAATTATGCCATTGGTTTATTTACAAATTGTGTTATCAAAGTACCTAAATACGGCAATTCAAATTGTCAATATGGAGACTACAACTACAATCATTACAATGCCAACATTCATCACAGATTCAAACTTTTAACTTTTAATATATAAAACTTATAATTAATAAACAAAATACATACTGCATCATTTTCCAAAAGCATTTTTGTAGATAGAACACTTATCTTGTCAATCTACCATTAGTTGTAAATGTGACTGTGGTTCAGTTCAGTGAGGAGTCCCTCAGTGTGGTAATTTTTTCTAATTTTTTTTATAAAATCAAACTTACATAGACATTTTATCAACTTAATTTTTTCCTAATGTCAAAACAACTCTCGTGGACCAAAAGAGCTGAGACCATGGCCTAAATCCGTGATTCCCACTTGGTTCTCGTAGCCGCATTGTTACAGATGGGCCATTACTTTAGTGCTAGTAAACATTTTAAAACATCAGCATTTATGTTCGTCCCAAACAAACACAAACATCTTCTAAACCAATAAAGTAAAAAAATGTTTGTTTTATGATAATAGTGGTACAATAGTGGTTAGGCTTTTAAAAAAATAATAAAAGGACGTTTCAGCTAAACTAAAGTTAAAGGCCTTCATTTTCATCAGCACACAATAAAAAAACAATAATAAAAAATATTTGAAATTGAAAAACGTGTCATTTTAACTTGATGGTAAAGTTCCTATTCACATGAATTAGTTGAAACGTGATTGATTGTCGAAGATGCCGTTCATGAGCCATCCTCGGGCTCATCTCATTTCAACGGAGGTGAACACAGGGGTAAATCAGATAACTTACGGTTTTAGGAACCATATCACCGTATGAAATCAATTTAATACTCTCTTCCTAGTGTTGCTCAATTTCTCTCAATTTATTTTCTATTTTGTGTAGTTCAAAATATTAGTCTTCCAGTTAAAAACTTCATTCCTCCTACTCCTTTCAGCTACTTAAAAAGTTATGAACTTATCAAATCCATTTGCTGAATAACAGAGGTTGTTGTTGTTTTTTTGTTTTCTTTTAAAAACTATAATATGAAAATCCCAACTGCTTTTCTCTTTTTAATATCAGAAAAATAAACAATCTGCCCCACCTTTTTGCACGTATTTTTCAGTTGAGCATTCAGAAGGAAACTTTTTTTTCTTCTTTTTTTTAAATAACAAATAAAAAGTAAAAAATGTGCGTGAACTAGCAAAACAATTCTTCTGTCTAGGACCTAGACTCTAGGTTGTCAATTTAAAAATTAATTCCATGGATTTAGTAATTTAAAAAATGGGTTTAGATTTATCGAAGAGACAATTTATAATTTGTCTAAAGAAATTTATAGTACTTTGAAATTCCAAATAAATGAATGCCAGTATAGCTGGCTCTGGTCACCAATTTTGATGCCGATAGATAGGCCTACACTGCCTAGTGGCGTAGCTATTATTATTGCTGCCCTGTGCTGGCCAACATTTTTGCCACACTCCCTTTCTCAATAGAAACTTTGTTGTTGTTTAAAAATGCCAGTCTCCATATAACAAAAAAAGTGACAACTGGGTGGACCACCCCACCCATCTTCATTTCTATGCTACTGGCAGAGGTGTAGCTAGAGGGTTTTTTTGGCGGGGGGGGGGGGGGGTGTTGGTGTGGGTTTTTTTGTTTGTTTTTTTTTTTTTTTTTTTTTTTTTTTTTTGGTGATGGGGGAAAATATTTATTTACTCCCCCAGCGAATTCTTAAATCCATATTTTCATCCATTAATTACCACCAAAGCCCATTTTGGCGCCCCGCTTGTCTGGTGCCTGGGGGATCTGCCCCAAAAGCTATACAGCAGGGAACTCAACTAGTAGGTGCGAAATTGTCCCGACAGCAGGTTGGGTCTCTCTGAGATCTTAGTCTACAAAAGTAGTTATGGGTCGAACAATCAGTGTTTCTTTCAGTTTCAATCATCTCTCCTATCTTTCCTTGCCCATCGTTCGTATCTTTCCTTTTTATCCCTTTCCTCACTGTCTCTTGTACAGTGGCACCCGGTGCGGTAAACTCATGGTGTCACCCCCCCCCCACACACACACACACACACTGGACTTTCCCGATAACAATGACAAGAACAAACAAAAAAGGTACCGATATATTTATTTAAGAACTGTAACAACGTTAAGTTATAGTTATTTTTACATAAATGTACTTTGAAATGTTACTTTCCTGGACTTCAAAGCTTTTACCTGTCAATCACTTGATTAAAATCAATATCCTTCCTCGTATCACTTTCAAATGATGGTAGTAGTAGAAGCAGATCAGAAACCCTTGACTGGTCCATATTGGATCTTAAATAGTTCTTGATAAGCCTTAGTATTGAAAAGCCAGAAACACACAGATCGTAAGAAAAAGTTGAAGGTTTAGATTATTGGAAGAGATTTTAGGAAGTCCCATTCAGCTAAGAATTTCAAAACATTAAATTCTGACCAGTCCATGACTGTATGAAATTGATTATCAGCTGTCATTAGGTGTCTTCTAAGCCTTAATATTTCTTTTTAAAAGTTCATCAGAGAAAGAGGTTAATTTCGGAACGGAAAACAATAACTCTTCTTCAATTGCTGATAGCAGACTCTTGGACTGAATAGCCCAAAACATATCTGCAACTTCCTTGATCGCTGATGATCTGATCTTGGATTCATAAATAAAGCGATCCCGTACACTCTAGAATCTCCCTACTGTTTTCTTCTCGCATGAGGAGTTCATCATCTATTAATTGTCCTCCTGCCATTCTCTTCTTAAACCTTAATATTCTCTCAGCCGAAATTCCAAACTGGTCTGAATTTTTAAATAAAGTGCTTTTTCAAAAGCATGTTCTACCAATTGACAGCACTTATCGTGTAGAAAAAATCTTACGGCCTCTAGATTGGTCACCACTTTGTCAAGAGTAAAGTAAAGCCTTCAATCTGCAGATACTGCTGTGTAAGATTATCTCTGACTATCTTCACTCTCGCAATCTCTATCCTTCCTCTCAGTCCGCCTACCGACTTGGTCACAGCACAGAAACAGCACTGGTACGAGTCATGTGCGACCTCGTGCGTGCGATGGACAGTTGCAAACTCTCTATTCTCACTCTGTTAGATCTCTCTGCTGCATTTGATACCATTGACCACCAGATTCTTCTTGACCATCTTCATCTTTCTTTCGGACTTACTGGCTCAGCTTTAAACTGGTTTCAATCTTATCTTTCTGACAGAACTCAAACAGTCTCTATTTCCAACCGCTCTTCCAAACCTTCAGCCCTGTCTATTGGAGTTCCTCAAGGATCGGTCCTTGGGCCGGTCCTTTTCATCCTCTACACTAAACCTCTATCATCTCTCATTAGCCACCACTCAGTTTCCAGTCAATCCTTTGCTGATGACACTCAAATCAGTGACTCTTGCTTTCCTGATCAACTTGATGCCACAATCCTTCGCATACAGGAGTGCGTGGACGACGTAAAGTGCTGGATGACTTGCAACAAACTGAAGCTAAATGATGATAAAACGGAAATCCTTCTCATCCACTCTCAAAACAAACCTCTCCCTCCATCCGCTCCTTCTACTATATCTATCGGCAACTCTGACATCACACTCTCTTCCTCTGCCATAAACCTTGGAGTCACGCTTACAGACACCCTATCCATGGACAAACATGTCACGAACATATGCAGATCAGCATACAACGAAATTAGAAAAATCAGCACCATGAGACACCTCCTCTCCTTTGATGCCACAAAAACTCTCGTCTCTTCACTCATTATTTCAAAATTTGACTACTGTAACACACTTTTCGCAGGCTTTCCTCAACACCACATAGAAAAACTTCAGAAGGCACAGAACTCAGCATGCAGACTCATTTTTAAATCAAAGAAACATGACCACATTCAACCACACAGGCGGCAACTCCACTGGCTTCCAATATCCTCTCGTATCAAGTACAAGTCTGCCAATCTATGCTTCAATTCGTTCACTGACCCTCACTTTCCTGTCTATCTCTCTGAACGGTTGCTTCCTTACACCCCCACAAGACAACTACGCTCTTCTATTGACAATAGAACCCTCTCGATCCGAAGAACCAAAACTAAGACCATCGGTGAACGCTCCTTCTACTTCCATGCACCCACGTTCTGGAACCAGCTCCCCTTCCACATCCGTCATTGTGAAACCTTGTCCACTTTCAAAAAGTCCCTTAAAACCCATCTGTTTAGGTCCGCCTATGACCTGTGATGCACCCTCCTTGTCATGTCTTATTTTCTGTCTCGGGTTGATCCTGTATTCAAGTATATGCCAAAACGTGCAAGTATACTTGTTTTTATAGCCATTTTAATGTTTAAGCTACTGTTTCTATTGTCATTTTTATTGTAGTTACTATTTTCATTTATTTTCATATACTAGACTCATAGTCTCCAGGGCTGTTCTAGTTCAAACCACAAAGCTTATATTGGCAGGTTGTAGATCATAACCCCCTTCACGTTTCCCTGATAAAGAGCCCTGACAAGATCTGCTTCATTCCAAAATATATTGGTTCCTTGTCCAATTGAGGTCACTTACAAGACTGTTCGCAGATGACACAGCAGTGTATAGGACTATCGCCAACAGATATGACCAGGACCAGCTACAACAGGATCTCAATCTGTTAGCTGAGTGGGAGATGAGCTGGGACATGGAATTTCACCCTGCTAAGTGCCAGACACTATCAATCTCTAGAAGTTGTAATCCTCTACACTACCAATACGAACTGCACGGCCATATACTTGAGCAAGTTTCCTCCGTAAAGTGTTACCATTCAAAGAGAGGTCCGCTGGGACGAGCATATTAACAATGTATGTAACCAAGCAAACAAGACCCTAGGGTTCTTAAGGCGAAATCTAAAGATTGGCAACTCCTGTGTGAAAGAAAGAGCATATAAAGCCTTTATCCGTCCGATTTTAGATTATGCATCTTCAGTCTGGGACCCATTTACCCAGAAGAGCATTGACAGGTTGGAGGCGGTCCAGCGACGAGCAGCACGCTTTGTTCTAAACCGCTACAGGAATACCTCTAGTGTTGCCAGCATGCTAGAAACACTAGGCTGGTCACCATTGGAGAAACGACGACGACAATCCAGGCTATCCATGATGTACAAGATAAATAATGGGCTGGTCCACTGTTCCAGTATTAAACAGAAACTCGTCCCTCTCCCCCATAGACAGCGACGAGGCCATGACAGGCAATTCAGGCTCATACCAGCAAGAAGCCAGTATAGGAGCTGCTCATTCCTGCCCAAGACAATCAGGGACTGGAACAATCTTTCAAAAGGAACGGTTGAGGCGACAACTCTAGACACATTTGTGTCCATTGCCTCAAGCCTTCAAACCCC